GAATTCCCAGCTCCCTGCATCAGTCTGGCCCAACCCTGGTAATTCTCCATCTGTCACATTCACATTTATATTCATATGTATTTAATGAAGCTGGGGAGCAGATATCTCACCTAGCAGTTAACATGGCCCAGTTTCATGAGTACATGAGCTTTGTTCCTGGCTCCAACTTCCAACTCTAGCTTCTCATTAGCACAGACTCTGGGAGGCAGGAGTGATGCCTCAGCTAACTGGGTTTCTACCAACCTTATTCAACTCCTGGATTGAATTTTTGGCTCCAGCCGTAGTTGTTGCACACATTTGGGGAATAAACCAGTGAATCAGAGCTTTCTCTAGCAGGTTGGCAGTCTCTTTTTTCCTCTCTGTTTCTCCGTATCCATTTTGTTTTTTTCTCAAATAAAAAGATAAAACAATTAGTATATTTTGGTGCAAAAATTTTTTGAAGCCCATGTATTTTTTTTCAGAATATTCATTTTCCATAAGCTTTTTCAAGGAATCCTCATATTCAAAAGTACTGTCTACAAAGCAAGCACTTTCTAGTACCTCTGCCTTGAGTCTCTTCCAGGTTCCTAGGGCCTGACCTTTGCAGCACACTTGGTGTTTAATTAAGTGAAGTTACTGCTGTTCAAGTTCAGGCTGTGGAAATATCAGAACTCTGAGGGCTGTGCTCCTGAAATATGTCCTTCATACGCCCACCTCCCCCTGCCTACTGAAGAACTGACACTGGCAAGCTGAGAAACAGGGCACACTATCCCTTTTATGAAAATCTGGCAAGTTAGTGCAAAATGAAGATAACCATTCCCACCCCCATATGGAGACCAAGCCTACTTAATTATCTGAAACCCAGATAAACAGCAGGAGGAGGATGGCACATGAGCCACTGAGAAGCTGGGCCAGGCAACCAGGGTCTGCAAGACACGTTATTAAAAACTAATGAGGTGATTCAGTGCTGGAATGAAGGGTGAGAAAATGAATCGATGGTTTCTGGCAGCCTCCAAGAGCTCTTGCCTGCAGCGGGGCAGAGTAAGGAAAGGCAAGAAGATAGGGCAGCAGTGGGAGGGCTAAGGAGGCGGGCGACACGTAGGGTCCAGGAAGGGGAAAAAAAGCAGCCTTCAGGAATTATCTCCCAAACATTTGCTGCCTATGACAGGTCTCATGAGACTTGGGGGTTTTATTGATTTGTTCAAGTAAAGTTGATAAAATTGCCACACCGAGAGAGAGAGAGAGAGAGAGAGAGAGAGAGAGAGAGAGACAAAGAGAGATCTGCTATTTTGAAAGGTGGAAACCAGAGGATGAGTAAACGAAGTTAGCAAGGAAAGACACACTTGAGTATTCAGAGTAGAGGGCTCAGCCAGTGAACCTGACCTCACAGACCTTGTTCAGGGCTAGCAGGTGTGCTGGGGGAGTACCTCCTGACCCCTTCCCTTAAAAAGCACTTGCTGGGACAACTTATGTGTCAATGTGTATGCTACGGGCTTAGCATGAGCCTAAACCTACAACAAGGGTTCAGGAAGTACTCTAGAAAATTTCCAGCAAGTAGATTTTACAAATCTGGACTCTAAGTAAGCTGGAGATCCTCACTCTGAGCTCCAAAATAAGCATTTCTACATCCAGAGAGCAGTCCAAAGGTTTTCCTCAGTAGGATCCATTCAGTTTCTACCACACTCAGATGAAGAGGGTGGAATAAGATAAATCCCAGTGTAGGATTGTGACATAAAGCCAGCAGTTTGCCTCAGCATTCTGGAAGAAGTAGGCAAAAAGAAAAAGGGCTCTTGTGTTGGGAATAAAGGTAACAGAATGGTTAACAGTTAAGAGTTCTGTCTCTAAGATGAATATTCTGGGTTCCCATCCTGATTCTGCTTCATTCTAGCAGAGGCCTCAAACAAGTCGCTCAGTTTGCCTCTATGGTTTCATTTTCCTCAACATGAAACTGAAGGAATAGAACCTATCATGTGCATGCATATACATGTGTGCACGAGGTATGGTTCTTGTGAGGATTCAATAAGTTAAAAATAAAAATTTACTGCAATATAAGTAGGCCTTCAGTAAAAAATAGCTCTTGTGGCCCAAAATTATAAATCAAGAATGTGGAAGATCCAAGGTGCTTGGTGAGCCCACATTTCTCTCTTTCATTTCCTCACTGTATAGCAGGAAGTTAGAAGAGTCTGTGCAGGTCAAGACTCAGCAGTCAAGCTCAGGGAAAGCTATGAAAAAATAACACTGAATGTAGAGGCTGGTGGGCTACAGAGAAAGCAGCAGCCACTGGAGCCTTTCTTAAAATGGTCAGCACAGCTAGAGACCATGAAAGTGAGTGGATGTACCCAGGCATCAAATAAAGTCTGATTCACACAATCTCCACAGGCAATGACAGATATGAACATGATCACCTTGGAGCAGGTGTGCGTAAACCAGTCTCAGAATGGTTATCAAAGCTGCAGATATTGGAACTATTTCAATCAGGGGCTGTCATATTTCTTCTGGCAAATAGAACTTCCTCATGTAAGCCTAAAAACACTTAGCAGGCACTAAAATTTCATTTTCCTCTTATTCTACTTCTTGGATCGTGTGTGTGTCTGTGTGTGTGTGTGTAAAGAGAGAGAGAGTTGTTGGGGTAAGAACATGTATATATAAAAGAATAACTAATTGTACATTGACAGAAATGAATTAGTGAATTGGCCTAATAAGTGCAAGGCACTTTGTAAGATGTTGGGAAGATTCAACAGGGAGGAAGAAGGGCCCTGGCCCTTACACAGCTTATATTCTCCTTTCTTTATTGATTCACTTAGTTCATCAGTAAGTAATAGAAGGATATAGAACTTATTTTGAGGTTCTATACATTTTTGTGGAAAATATAATGAAAAGCTAGTTTAATTGGTGTAAAAATTGTTGGAATCTATACGCCTTTGAGATCTTTACAAAATTCACGGTAAATGCATATGATGCATGAGTTTGGAAATTTTTTTGCACTAAAGTAGACTTATCTTCTAAAAATTTAATTTATTTGAGAGGTAGAGGACAGATAAACAGAGAACTCCCATTCGCAGGTTTACTTCCTGATACTTTCAAAAGCTAGCACTGAGCGAGGTCCAGGATTATACTCAAGTCTCCCACATGAATGACAGAAACCCAAATACTTAAGTCATCACCTCTGCCTTCTAGGGTCTGTAATCAGCAAAAAGCTGGGCTCAGGAGCAGAGTCTGGATACCCAATACAAGCACTTAAGTGGGACATAAGCATATTAAGCATGGGGTCAAATGCCTACCTTATCTTTTAATCACATTTTCCCACGAACTTTTTGAAGTTTCCTTATAGTGCAACCTTGGGCAAATTTCTTAACCTAGAATTCCTTCTCCAAAATGGAGTTAAGAACAGGAACCACTTATAGGATAAACCTAAATCATTGGAAGTATCATCTTAGGAAAATACAAGGATCTTTCTAAACTTTGTAGAAAATGGAAGTAAAAGATAAAAAAGTTGAAATTCATGCAAACTTTTTGCATAATGCTCATTTTCCACGAGCTTCTCAAGAATCCCTCATAGCTAGGAAACTGAATTGAAGCACAAAGTTGTTGTGTTGAAGCACAAGCCTCTTGGCTAGGAAAGCTGAGGATGATGGATGAGAAATTTGCACAGATATCTGAGTGTGCTATGTCCTCTCTGCAGCCACTGTGGCGTCCTTCCTGCATTTCTGAGGTCGATGGGCTGGGTTCACCTCCAGACAGAACACACTGTACCAGGCTGGGCTTGGAGGGAGCGTCATTAGCATCCATACCAGTCCGCAGGATGCTAGCAAGACTTCTGGGGCTCGAAAGCCGACTCTGTCCTTGGAAAACGTCACTGAGACCTTGCTCTACATCCTAATGACTTCACATCCTTCTGCGTCTTCTAGATAAATTGATTTATTCGAGTATCTACTTTGGACATTTAAGTGGTTGGACGCATGGGTTTGATGAGGAAATTCAATGGGATCACAAGTCAAGAGCTAGTGCAGTGACTGGGCCAGAGCTCATGCTGAATAAATGTTAGTTATGAGTGTCCTTCTGCACCAAGTCCCAGGCATGTGGCAGATGCTGGGAACAATGCATATGTGTGTGTACACAGACACACGTTTACAAAGGCCAGTAGCCGCAAAGTGGCAGCCAGTATTTCCACAGCAGCAATGCTTTAAAGCTAAACGCATTGCTAGTACTTTTTTCCTCTAACAACGTATTTATTTATTTATTTGAAAGGCAGAATAACAGGGAGAGAGAGAAAGAAAGAGAGAGAGAGAATAAGAATCTTTCACCTGGTTCATTCTCCAAACGGGCCAGCCCCAAAAGCCAGGAATCCCAAACTCCATCTGGTCTTTCACTTAAGGTGATAGGGCCCAAGTAATTTAGCCAACACTGGCTGTCTTCCCAGGTGCATTAGCAGGAAGCTGGATTGGAAATGGAACAGCTAGAACTTAAATCAGCACTCATATGGGATGCCAGCACCTCAGGCGGTAACTTAACCATTCTCACACAATGCTGCACACAATCTTCAGTTCTTTAAAATGCCAACTCACAGATTTTGTTTCCTTTAAAACATGGGGAGACAGGAGTTCTTCCTGAATGCTTGAGTATGTGGTTTAATTGATTTCCAGCAAAAAGGGAATTTTTTTTTTAATGTGTAAAATGGGAACATCCCAGAACTTTCCTCTGAGGACTCCCTTGAGAAAGGCACACGAAGCATTTTGTGCAGAATCTGGCACATCCAAAAAGCTGGAAGGAGATAACAATACCCACTCCTCTAGATGGCATCCTTCTCCAGTAGCCAGCACAGAAAGATGGTGGAGTCAGAATAGCCTGAACTCAATTTCAACTGCAAGGAGATAACAATACCCACTCTTCTAGATGGCATAACAGTGAAATGATAATGATTTTTTTAATGTACAAGAGGCCTTTATCCCAGGGCCTGGTCATCGCGGGTCCTCCCTCTGCCATGCTCCTTCCTGCTCTGGGAGCCGCGTCCAGCAACTCACATGAACCTGAGTTCAGACTCCCGGCGGACCAAGACTTCCCGGAGACGGTGGATCTTCGCCATCTCCAGCTCGATCTCCTCCGGCATCATGGTCGTCTCTGCCATGGAGATGATGTCCAGCTGACCTGCACGGGGAGGACACGAAACACGCAGGACGTCAAGATCTGACGCTGCAGGGGTTGCCAAGAAATCCGATAGAACAAACCCTGAGAGCGACCGCGGAGTGTGTGATGAGGGGGATGGACAGACAGCCTGGCCCCTGCGACGCTCATCTTCTCGAAGCGACACACAGGTCTCAGCCTGTCCGGCAAATGTGGGAGTGGGGGTGGGATTTTGCTAATAGGGGTGCGAGTGGGAGGCACATTTCCCAAGCAGCTATAATTTATTTCCAGTAAAACTCACTTAGGGTCTTGGTTCCCAATGTCACAGGGTGGAGAAGGGAGGCGGTCTTTAACGGGAATGAAAGCTTCTCTCAATGCCAGCAAGCTCTCCTCACATGGACTTTTCCGGACAGAACGAGTTCTCGCGAGACTGGGCTCGTGGCCTCGGGCTTTGGTTTCCTCAGCGGAAGTGGCCGGAGGCGCTTGTCCTTCGGCCACGAAGTCACTCGCCACGCGAGGCCGCCTGGTTCTGAAGCGCCCAGCTTACAAAGCCGTAAGTCGATGTAGAATTTTGTGTTTTCTGACTTAAACAAAATCCCCAGTCCCAAACGTTCTGATAGAGCAACAGAAAAGGGCTCAAGTCGCACGGCAATCCTGTTTCTCTGAGAAACCAAGGCCCGTGCTGGCTCCTTAAGACGTTGGGCAGTCCCAGCCTGACCCGTTTCTGAACTTGTCCCCACAGTATCCTCAAGTCCACTACGTCCGTGTCACCCGGTCCCAACCCCCAAGACTGAGGTTGACTCCAGGTGCAAGAAAGTAATTATCCTGTGGTGTCACTAAGTAATACAAATTTGATGTAGAAAATTTACCTCAGGCAGGTAGGAAACACACACACACACACTAAACCAAAAACCAACAACAAAAAATTAAAAAGTCATCCATAAGGGCGGCATGGTGACATACTGGGCTCATCCTCCGGCTGCCACGCTTGCTTTCTGTAGGGACAGTGGTTCGAGTCCTGCTGCTCCACTTCCTATCCAGCTCCCTGCTAATGCACCAGGGAAATTAGTAGAGGACAACCCAGGTCATTGGGCTCCTGCACTGCTATGAAGAAGCTCCTGGTTCCCAGCCTAGGACCTGCTTAGCTCTGGCTGGAGTGGCTGTTTGGGGAGTGAACTAGTGAATGGAATATCCCCACCTCTCTTTCTATAATTCTACTTTTAAGGAAAATAAATAAGTCTTAAGAAAAAAAAGTCATCCAAAGACTACTGCCTTGAGAGCAGTTAACATTTTGATGGGCAGTTAGAAATATTGCCAAACATATAAAACCATACATGAAGTTGATATGACATAAACATATTATATAGCAGCGTATATACACTACATATTATATATGTATGGATGGATGTATTAGTCTGTTCATGGATTATTTCACAGCAATTGATATAAACAGTTTTTAAGAACATTGAAAAAATACACACCAAGATGTTATTACTTTGAAAGGTTAAAATACATGTATGCATATACACACATTTATTCACCGTTGAATAGGTCTTATTATTGTAATACAAAGTTAGGATCCTTCTATTTTCTTTGTTAGTCTTTCACATAGCAAAGTGTAAGCATTTTTGCCTGCCCTTGGATACTCCTTTTCTCAGAAGTGGGAAAAGATGGGCTGTTTTCTGTTTGTAGCTGTGCCTGGAATAACTTAACCAATCCATGGCATCACTTAACCAATCCATGGACATTGAGATGGTTCCCCTTTCCTCACATCTCCCTTCCTCACTACAAACAGCCCTCTGTAATGAGCATTCCTGATGCTAAATATTTGCATATGACTTGAGGTTCCTTTCGATAACATTTATAGATCAAATGGCTGAGACTTAGAAAATGCAGCATCCCAAAGCCCTTTACAGGTAGAAGGTGGTGCAGGGGAGACCACTGAAATTATCGTATCCTAAGGCCAATAGCCTGTCACCCAGTCCTGCTAACTCCACCCCCCAAAATCCACCCCGAGGGCTAGCCCCCAACCCACAAACTCCTCAGTCCTCCCACACTTCCTTTGTGTTTCCCTTACTCCAAGATCATGACCCAAAAGCTGCCTTCTGTCTGCAGGTCTGTCTGGGAGCCAGGAGATGGAATCCATGACTTTCAGACTTCCCTGAAGTCAACTCCTGCCTGTTTGGATCATGGGAGAATGCTAACTCCCAGGAACTTGTAACTGCAACTCCCTTGGCCCCGAGATCTTTCAGGAGCCAGCGCATTTTTGGTGAGTTGGCATGCTCTTCTGTAACCTACAGCCAACATGTCCTCTCTGTGTCTCAGAATTGCTTGTCTCTCCTTCACTAATGAAGACTGCTCAGATTGCTGCAGAACCAGGAGAAAGGCAATTTCCTGAAGTTGGTTCTCAGGTTAAAACGAGTGGTCTTCCTGCATTCTCTGGGCTAATTCCTTATTGGCAGGAGAAACAATGAAAAAGTTGCTTGGCAGTTGCTTGGACAGATTTGCTGTGGTAGTTATAGGCCTACCAGAAATTTCTTCTCTCTCTCTCTCTTTTTGCTTCAGTATCTCACTCACAGCAATGCCTGCTTCTCTTTGTATTTGCAGAGAGCTCCAGAATTTTGTAACATAGGTTATGTGTCACTTCGTGTTGAAATGGGGAGGGGCCCTCATGTCATCCTCTGAGATGGTCCCAAGCTGGCAGGCTAAAGAACTAAGCCCACTTCTGCATTCAGATTTAGGCCCTGCCTCGTCAAGGTGGCCTCTTCCGCATGTAGATGATTTTTTTCTGAGACCTCTTTTCCTTCACATCTAGGAATCAAGAGTGTACCATAATGTTCCCACTCTTTAAAGGGTCAGAAGTCCAAGGTTGCTCCATAATAGTAATAGTAAACATGATTGAACACTTATCACATATCAAGTTCTCTGCTTTGCCTTATTTGATTCTCAGAACAGCTCTAGATATTAAGTACTGCTACCCTATTTTTTTTAAGATTTGTTTGTATTGCAAAGTTAGATATATAGAGAGGAGGAGAGACAAGAAAGGAAGTTCTTCCATCCGATGATTCACTCCCCAAGTGACTGCAATGCCGGTGCTGCACAATCTGAAACCAGGACCCAGGAGTCTCCTCCAGTTCTCCTATGTGGGTGCAGGAACCCAAGGCTTTGGGCTGTGCTCGGCTGCTTCCCAGTTCACAAGCACGGAGCTGGATGGGAAGTGGGGACACTGGGAAATGAACTGGTACTCATATGGGATCCTGGCGTGTTAAAGGCAAGGGCTTTAGCTGCTAAACCACTGCACATGGCCCTACCCTATTTCCTAAATGGCCAAGTTGAGGCTTGAGGAAAGGAATACGTGATGGGACAGGATATAAAATTAGATTATTCTACTCCAAAGTCCTTGCTGTCATCATATCCATTAAGAATGACCTTCCTGGGCCTGACACTATGGCTCAGAGGCTAAATCTTTGCCTTTTCAGGATCCCATAGGGGTGTCAGTTCATGTCCCGGATGCTCCACTTCCCTCCCACTTCCCTCCCACTTCCCTCCCACTTCCCTGTTCCTGGCCTGGGAAAGCAATAGAGGACAACCCAAAGCCTTAGGATTTGCACCCGTGTAGGGAACCCGGAAGAAGCTCCAGATACTGGCTTCAGATTGCCTCAGCTTCAGCTGTTGTGGCCACTTGGAGAGTGAATCAGGAGATGGAAGATCTTTCTTTTTTTTTTTATTTTTTTCCATTTTTTTTTTTACAATCTTTACATAGTTAATTAGGGTAAAAAGGTTCAAGGGCAGATCTTTGTCTCTGACTCTCCTTCTCTCTGTGAATATGTCTTTCCAATAAAAATAAAAAATAAATAAATATTTGTTGCTGAGGTATGTCTCCTATAGGCAAAAAATAGATGGGTTTTGTTTTTTAATCCAGTTTACGAATCTATGACGTTTGATTGATGAGTTTAATTCATTTACATTCAGGGTTAATATGTAAGGATGGTAATTTGGTCCTGTCATTTTAGCAGTGGGTTGTTCATTGATTTAATCTTCTGTTGTTATTTTACTGAGATGTTCTTCACATTTACCTTTGGTTTTGGTGGGTGCTATTCCTCTTCTCTGTCAAGAGAACATGTTTAAATATCATTTGTAGGGCAGGTTTGGAAGAGGCATATTCTTTTAAATTTTCTTTACATGAAAGAATTTTGTTTCATTTTCAAAGACAAAGGAAAGCTTTGGTGGGTACATTATCCTGGGCCAACAATTTTTTGCTGCTGAAATCTGGAATATGTCACTCCATTCTCTTCTGGCCTGTAGAGTTTCCTGTGAGAGGTTTCCTGTTTAATTAACATTCCTTTATATGTCTATTGATTTTTTTCACATACACATTAAAGAATCTTTTTGTTATATTCAATTGAAGAGAGCTTGATTATCATGTGTCGTGGTGAAGATCGCTTTTGGTCAACCCTGTTGGGATCAGCAGAAGCTATATCTTATGGATTTTGATATTTTTTTTGTTAGTTTCATCTCTTCAAAACACTTCTCATTGAATTCTTCAGTGACTCATAGATCATACAGTAGCATCATTTTCTACAAGAAGGTTGATTTTCTTTTTCATTTCTTCAGCAACACATTAGTCATTCAGTAGCATACTATTTAATTTCATGGTGTTGTTAATTTATTTTTTCTTCCTGTTTTGATTTTGTTTTGTGGCTTTTCATTTAAGAGGATATATTGTAACTGTGTAATGGAGACTATCATATTTAGGAGCATGTTATTTAAGTTCATGGCATTATAAATTTCTATTTTTCTTCCTGTTGATTTTGTTTTGTGGTTTTCCATTTAAGGGGATGTACAGTAGCAGTGAAATGGAGACTAACATTTCCAAATGTGAGGATACAATGCAGTACGCATCTCTGCTTCCAGACTAAAGATGGACTGCCAATGAAACTGTTTACTATATCTTGACAGTAGGATGCTGGACACTCTGCCATTGTGCATGCCCTCAATGATGGAAGTAGTACTGTTTATGAAGA